ATTTGGGGTTCACATCTCCCTGTGATATTAAATGACTCAGAACCAACAGGACACAGTTGACTATAAACATAAAAAAACACCTCTCTTCTAGCTTTGAAAATAGCAGGATTATCTTTTTTCTATTAGCTGCCTTTCTCCGTATTTGCTTTAACGTTGATTGCTGGGTTATGATATCTGTGGAGGTAGAGACTATTGTTTCATCTTCAAATGCTCACTGTGCAAATAAATTTCAGACCCAGGCTTTAGACTGTATCAGGTTATAGATACACCAAGGGGCCAAGGTGGGAGGCTTGATCACGATCGCATTTCCATTTAATGTCAGAGGTGCTTCTCTCAATTAGCTATTAAATTGATTTGCCAAATGAACAGTCTCACCCACAGCTTTTGGGAAACAGTTACTAACTGAAATGCAATTGTTTTATAGATGCATGCGGGTTATGAATGAATGTATGAAGGGCTTGCCTTCAGAAATCGTAGGCGCTCCATCACTGGAGACTTTCTAGAAGAGACTGGACAGCCACTTATCCGGAATGGTATAGGACAGGGGTCTGCAACCTTGACCACTTTAAGACTTGTGGACTTCAGCTCCCAGAATTCGTCAGCCAGCTATGCTGGCTGAGGAATTCTGGGAGCTGAAGTCCACAAGTCTTAAAGTGGTCACGGTTGCAGACCCCTGGGTATAGGATCTCCTGCTTGAGCAGGGGGTTGGACTGAAAGACGTCCAAGGTCTCTTCCAACTCTGTTATTCTGTTATTCTGGTCGTTTCGTCAATGATGTTAAAAGAGCTACAAGCCTCACTTGTATCATTCCGGCAAACTTATTGGACCCTTGTTCTTTGTGTAATAGAAAAAAAATGACAGTGTTTTTACAGCTGAGCGATACATTTTTAAGGGAGGAGATTTTGCATTTGAATGACGTACAGTGAGAATTGCTAGTTCAGGCAAGAAATGTATATATAAAATCCCTGAAATCTCACTGAAAATCTCTAATAACAATATCATATGTTTCATGTAGACTGATAATCATTCCTTTTCCAGTTTTATCAGAGAACATTTCCACCCAAATCAAACTTTATTCCAAGATTCCTTGTCGGGAGCTACAGAGTTGGTATATGAAGCTGTAATGTAGATGAGTTCACTTACTAAATTTGTCATCAATTGAATTCTGATCCATATGACTGGTCACTATCCTTCACTTCTACAATAGCACTGTAGAATGAAAGAAGTATAATTCAAAAAGCTATTTCTGTCTATCCATCTGTCCACTCACCCTTTAGTACAAAAGGAAGCATATCTACAGGTATATTGCTTGAATTCTGATATTAAGCAAGTTTCTAAGCACCACTCTATTTTCATTCATTCCATCATTTACCTTTTTTCAAGACCTTAGTCTTCCAATTGTAGTTCATGAGAAGATAATTCAATGCGAATACTTTTTAATAAAGCTAAATTCCAATAAAACTGAATTTTAAAATAAATTTGTGGAAAAGAAAAAAATGTCTTAAGAAGAACAATGATGTTTTGAGAAAGGGAATTTCAGAGAAGGATTTCTGTTTAATACGATGCACCTTTGATAAGCTTTGATGGTATCATATCCTATTAATATTATAGAGGAAATGGAATAGCATCTCCTTGGAATATATAACAGTGCTTTATACCTTTGACCGGAGTATAATCATGTTTTGTTGCAATTCCCACTTTGTAAGGTTAATACTCTTTTGCCTGATCACTGATCATTAAAATGAATTTAACATAATTAATTACTTATAGAGGAGCCAATTAGAACAAAAATAAAATCATTTTGAATTTACCAGTTTCAATTATTTAATATTTGACTTTTTCTTTAGACAATTCGCCAGAAATTTCCTCTCCTCACCACTAGGCGGCTGGGTACAAGAGGCCATTCAAAGTAAGTGCCATTCTTTTTAAATTCATTCTTATCTAGATAAAGCCATGCATTCTTGGTACAGGTAGCTGGAATCCAAATGTGTTATTAGCTGAAAAACACTTTTTAGAGTAATCAAACTGGTGGTGGTCCATGTTTTGTTGAATTTCAATTCCCAAAATTCTTCAAGGAGCATAAACACCATGCTAACTAGTAGATTAGAGGAGTTGAAACAGTGGTGGGATTCAAATATGCGAACAACCGGTTCTCTGTATGGATACCACTTCCAGAAGTCCATTGTGGACCTAGGCAACAGAAAATTAGCTACCGGTTCTGCCGAACTGGTGAGAACCGACTGAATCCCACCACTGAGTTGAAGGTCTACATATCTGAAAGAAATCCAGATGTGTGGAAGTCTGCTATGAAGGATATAGCAAAGTGTAGCAATTCCCATGTTTCTTGTCAAGTTGTATTGACTTGCTTACTGAAAACCATAATTTCCCATTTCCTTCATGCTCCAAATCCTTATAATCCCCCAAAACCCTTTATAGAGATGTACCGGTATATTTGGATTCCAATGGAAGGAATCATGAGGTGATGGAAATATCACTCAGAATGGCAGACTTTTGAGTAGAAAAGCTCTCGTTATATGTTTGTTTGTTTGTTTATTGTGCACCTTCAAATCAGTGTTGACTTTAGCAAGCAGCCTGGACAAGTCCTTGCAGTTTTCTTGGCAAGATTTCAATAGTGATTTGCCATGGCTTCCTAGGAGAGAGAGAGAGAGAGAGAGAGAGAGAGAGAGAGAGAGAGAGAGAGAGAGAGAG